TTCTCACTCATCGGCGCTGCGGCAGCAAGACCCTCAAATTCCTGATCCGCTGGAAGGAATATGACCCATCGGAGGACAGTTGGGTTGCAGAAGCTGATATGGGCAACGCACGCCATGCTCTCAAGGACTATCTTGTCAAGCAGGGTGTTCCTCACGCCACCCAGCTTTGAGGGGGGGACGTGTGAGAGTACGACGACTTATGCTTGCTCATTATGCTATTTCTAGCTTGGGATTATTTTATCATGCATGCTTATGCTTGATTTCCTAGGTTAGGTGCATTTCTCTATCTTATTATAGTTATAGCACCGAACAAGGTTGCGTGTTCCGGATTCCAGGCCTTTCGGTTGCCACCGAATTGCCTTCTATGGGATTCGGGAAGGTTTTGTTCGGGACGCTTCGCGACCCTCAGAATATTCACATAACACCTGGGTTACTGGCCTTGTGTCGAGGCTATATATAGCCTCGTGGTGTACCCAGGTGAATCATTCAATACATTTCCTTTTTTCTAAACTCGATCCTATTGATCCTCACAGTGGCCCTCGCGGCGGCACATGGGCAGAGGGAACCGGCAGGAGCCGCCGGAATACAGCGGGTGTTGCCGCTGGGAGTCAAGGACCCACCGCCCTGAGTACAGGTAATAGCTGTCTTTTTTCCTTTTCTTGTTCTTCGCCTGCTGCTGCTGCTGCTGCTCGTTCTCCTTGTTGCTGTGTGCTTGCTTGATGTGTTGTTTGCTATGTTATCATCCAATGCAGCGTCTAGGGATGAAGGGCTAAACTCTCCCATGCGACCAGCTCTATTCTCCTCCTCATCTGCTCTTGCTGAACTGCCTCCCCCTGTCTGCTTCTGCTCTCCTTCGCCCTCCTCTTCTTGCTCCCCTTCACTCTCCTCTTCTTTCTCCTACCGTTCTCGATCTGCTTGCACTTTAGCACCGTCCGCATCGCCATCATTGCCTGCAACGACAGAGTTACTACTGTATCGATTACCACAGTCATGGTTACCACTGGCATGGTTACCACCATCATGGTTACCACCGGCATGGTTACCACCGGCATGGTTACCACTGGCATGGATACCACTGGCAGCCGTAGTAGCAGCGGCATCATGACTAGCGACTCTGTGAGCACCACTTACTCCTGCTGCATCTCTTTTCCCACCAGCAGCATCAAGACCCGCACCACCACCACCAGCAGCACTATCCATAAGACATGCTCTCTCTGCCCTCTCCTCTGCGTCTTTCTCCTCCTCTGAATCCCCCTGCTGCTTCTCCATTTCCTCCATAAGCTTCCTTGCTTCTTCTGTCAGAATGTTATCTTATGCTCTAGCCTGTAGTGGGGTGCTCTATAGCGAGTACAACCCTTCTAGGGTTTCCTATTTGTATCCCCATTCTTGCTAGTGCAATCCTCTTCTTCTCTCTTCTTTCTTCTAAACTTTAACATGCTATCAGAGCAGGTCGATCCCCTTGGATCGATCCTGTGGGTGGGCTCACCACCTTGTTGCTTCCGCTGCAACTGCTACTGCTACTCTCTGTGCCGCACGCTTCGTGGCGTGCGGCAGTTTTTCTTCCCGCCGTGCGCCCCGAGGCGCGCGGCGGTTTTCTGCCCGCCGTGCGCCCCGAGGCGCGCGGCGGTTTCCTGCCCGCCGCGCGCCCCGAGGCGCGCGGCGGGTCGCGCGACCCCTACAGCCCCGTCGCGCCGCCCAGGGGAGCCGCGCGCGACCCCTGCAGCCCCGTCGCGCCGCCCAGGGGAGCCGCGCGCGGCCCCTGCAGCCCCGTCGCGCCGCCCAGGGGAGCCGCGCGCGGCCCCTGCAGCCCCGTCGCGCCGCCCAGGGGAGCCGCGCGCGGCCCCTGCTGCCCCGTCGCGCGGCCCTGCTGCCCCGTCGCGCTGCCCAGGGGAGCCGTGCGCGGCCCCTGCTGCCCCGCCCCGTCCCCGACCTGCCCCGGCCCCGACCTGCCCCGGCCCAACTCCCGTCGCCCGTCGCGGCGCCCTGGGGGGGGCCACCGGGGGCCGCGCGTTGCCCCCCCCCCCCCCCCCCCCTACCTCCCTACCCTGTTTTTAGGGTTTGGGGGGTAGTGGTTGGGGGGTGGCGGTTGGGGGGTGGCGGTTGGGGGGTGGCAAGTGTGTGGCGTCGCCTGCTCCTCCTCCTCCTCCGTCTCCCTGTGCTGCAGCTGCCGCTGAGGGGGGGTGGACGTGTTGGAGCCGGTGGAGTGGTACTAAGGGGGGGTGAAGGGGGAGTGGAGCTAGCGGTGTAGCAGCGGGTGTGTGCCAAGGGGGAGTGGGATAGTTTGGGGAAGCTGAATGGAGGTTGCCGTCGTGTCGCCAGCAGCACCTGTATTCCGGGGACTTCGTCCGGTAGCCCAGTCGTAGCCAGCTGTGCCAGCCGCCCGTGGGTCCGTTGCTCGTCTGCCGCTACTTTAGCCGCGGGGCCTGTTACTCCTGTATTCCGGGGACTTCGTCCGGTAGCCGCTGTGCCAGTCTGCCTCCTGTTGCCCGTGTGTCTGCAGCTTCAGCCGTCGCCCCCTATCTCCTCTCCTCTCACTCTCTCTCCTCCTCCTCACTTGCCCGTTGTGACTACCACTAGCTTTGCTCATAATTGTGAACTTAAACTATTGCTTCTTGAACTTGTGCTCAGAATGTGTGGTGACATTGTGATCCACCCTGAGCTTGTACTCCTTTGCTTCCTCTGCTGATTACACCCCACTTTGGCTATGGGGGTGTGTCAGAATGTTATCTTATGCTCTAGCCTGTAGTGGGGTGCTCTATAGCGAGTACAACCCTTCTAGGGTTTCCTATTTGTATCCCCATTCTTGCTAGTGCAATCCTCTTCTTCTCTCTTCTTTCTTCTAAACTTTAACATCTTCCACTGTGGCAGGGGAAGGGAGAGCAAGCGGAGGAGCCACGGTGGAAACGGGGAAGCTTATGGAGCAGATGAAAGGAGCAAAGCAGTGCCGTGTTGAAACGACATCGAAGAGGATTAGTAGCAGCCGGTGTTTGAAATGAATAAGCAATGCGAGGCTTCTTCTGTGTCAGATCAGATGCAAGCTGAGCAAAAATTCATCTGTCCCATTGACATACCATTATGGGCGACAATATTCTAAAAACAAAAACAAAAACATAAGCAGAAAAAAACAAACAACCAACCAAACAAACAAAAAAACAGGATAACGCTCCACGTGCGAGTATAGCTACATGACATTGGGAGATTATGATAACACAGCTGACAGACAGCACAAGGTCACGTACTGACATATTTCTCCATGGCGAGAGGAGGTTCGCCATCTTTAGAGCCAACCTCAGCTGCATCCTCGTTAGAAGAGTACTCGCTATCAGCACTTGATTCAGACCGACGATTTTGAGCAGCAACAGCAGCGGTGGTAGCAGCGTCACCATCACCATTCTCAGCAGCACTGGAAGATTCACCATTGCTTCCGCTGCCACCACCACTGATACCAGCGTCTCCGCGATCCGCGTTCAATTGACCGTTGTCGTCAGTCGAACTCCTTGTTAATCCGACGCTGGTGGATCAGAGGCAGAAAAGGCAGTCTCTTTCCGTATCCTCGCTTCATGTCGATTCGCTATCCGTCTACCGGCCAATACCAGGATCGAAACGACAACCAGTTAATATAACGAGTAACACTATAAACGCTGAACGAAATGACAACCAGTTTTCCCGTTCTTTTCCCTCCCTGTTTGTACCAAAGAGCCTTGACTCCCCCTCCGTCTGCTTTCGCATATGCCGAGCCTGTGCCACCGGCTCGGCCATGCCTTGACAAGGTGGTTTGAGGCTTGGAGGCCTTCACGATGGAGGGTTGAAAAGAGTCGGAAATTCGCTGGTCATTCCCGTGTGGCTGCATGAAAGTTTCTTCATTAGCATGGCGGAAGCGTAGAGAGTTTTGGTTGAGGGCTAAGCGGGAATCTACAAAAACGATGTTGGAGAGCAAACTGGGTGTTGGGGAGCAAAAGTGTGCACTAGAGTGAAGGGCGGGCCCGAGGCTAGTTCCGTTGCTGGGACTTGAACCTGGATCTCTCGGTTATATTAGGACGTTGTACAGTTGGCTTCCGACCTTGAAGCGCTCGATCGGGTCGGAGGCGATTTGACATTTTGAGCAAGCCACTTGAAGGGCAGTGGGAACTTTGCCCTGCGTTATTTTGAGAATTCGCAAATTCATTGGGGCGATCATTGCATTGATCGTTGGCAATGTTCCACGCCCTCAGTACGTTTCCTTCTCATCCACAAACCAGGGGGTAGAAGGGCCAACGCAAAATAGAAGGCGGGGACGGGGGTTACTTTCATAGCGACATCGCCTGCCCTTCCCCTCCCGTGCGGAACTCGGCGACGGCAAGCGAATATAAATTATCGTTGGCGAAAGCACTAAAGCAAGGACAGTCAGTCAAAAATCGAGGGTCCTAAACAGCGGTGATTTTTCCTAGAATCTTGTGGCTATTAGCCCTTTCCACCTATTACTATGTACGTTCAAGCGATTACTGTACCACGAGTATGCGGGGAGGGGACAAAACATCTCCCGCACGGGGCGGCACTGCCACCCACGGCAACAGTGCCGCCGTACATGCTTGGTTGGTCTGCGAGGACGTCCGGCATCCGAACCAAACAAACCAGTGGCTTTCCTTCCTCCTTACCTTACCGAACCAAACCAACCAGCTTGGATTATGAGCAAGCATTCAGACGCCATTCCATGACCCGTGCATGAACCAGGGCCCTGTGTTCGTTCGTTGCTCAGATACTTCATTCTGCGATCAGCATTTTTCCATCAGCAGTTTTTTGTTCTGATTCCTGGTTTTGCTAAGCTCTGTCAGTGGGGAGCCATGGCGTCGATGAAGCTCGCGTCGTCGTCGAGCATGGCTCTCCTCGTTCTCATCGCCGCCTCTGCACTGCTTCCCTCCGGGTAGATATTTTGGACAATGTAGATGGTCTTAAAGTTTCTCGCATACCTTCATTTGCATACTCCCTGTTTTTTCCTGACAGTACTAGCTTTCGTCTTTCAGGTGTGTGGCTCAGAGCACCATGAACGCGAATTTCACCACCAACTTCTTCGGAGGTTACTTGCGCGTTGATGTCGGACCCAATCGCAATCAGATCCGCGTGCAGGTTCGTTCATATAGATTTGTTTGTCAGTACAACATTTGGTTCGTTCGTTTCGTTCATTCAATTGTGTTGCGGCGTGATCACGTCAGGCCCGAGCCTTGTTCAATTGCCTTACTACATTCTCAGTAACGCGTTTGATTTCATCTTTATTCTACGTTATACGTGTACGACAGTGTTCCTCATTGAGCAATTTCCTTGTCAGAAACAACAGATCGTGATGTTCTTACTCCAAACTCCCTTCCTCACTGATGCGAGTTTCTGCTGCAGGCGAACCTACCGGACTGGATTAAGTCAGTTACACCCAAGCAAGAATACATTGTGGAAAAATACACTCTGCCGACCAGTGAGTGCCATCATGCAACACCAATTACAGCATCTTAGATCTCAGTGCTTCAGTTATGACCTCCGGTTCGATTTGCCGCCACCTGAGTGGCTTTTCCGTTTGCCCAGACACTTCACCCATACAGCATCCATTAATATGCTCTCCCCTCTCTTTTGCTTCCTTTTCATCAATATGCAGGCTTTTCCTCCCTCACGGACGTCAAGCACATTATCATGTCCTTCAGCCCTTCCTCCTGCTACCCCATCTGTACGTGTAAACACGCCGCCATGCCACATTCTGCACCACGTATGCAGTTGACAGGCTTTGACAGTACCAAACCAAACGTCGGCAAAAATGCAAGTTACACCCTCCCTTCTCGTCTCTCTCCTTCTCTCGACCCACCATTCCTGGACCAGTCACACTCCTCTCTCCACCTCCCCTCCCACGTCCCTCTTCCAACCCTGCAGACAACACCACCAAAGTAACCCCTGAACAGGCCGTCCCCGCATACCTTGCATCAGGATCAGACATCTGCCTCTCCTGCTACGTCTACCTCACCTTCTCCTTCCTCGACGAGGCCACGGCGAGTCAGATCGGCAGCATTTGCACGGAAACAGACAACGGCATGCTGCGCGGGTACATCTGCTCCACGGACGAGGGGGCTGACGTCACGGAGGCGCAGGCGTTTGGGAGTCCGCCAGTGGTGAATGGCGGCGGGACGTCGGTGGGGTTTCTCTACACGGAGATGTTTGTGCGCCAGCCCGCTGGCTCCACCATGCGCCTCCCCTCCGTCCAAGTGGATCCCCTGTGAGTAAGAACAATAGGCTCCAACTGTTTTTTTTTTTTTTTTTTTTTTTTTTTTGCTTGGCAGTTTCATTTTACTGTATGTGACTCCGAGTTGGTGTTTCCATGTGCGCATGTGAACATGTGTGCAAGCGTGCATGTATATGCTGCATGTGTGTGCATGTGTGTGGATGTAAGCAAGCGCGCATGTGTGTGCGTTTATGCATGTGTGTGCGTTTGAGCATGTGAGTGCGTTTGAGCATGTGTGCGCATGTGTTTGTCCGCGTGTACATGTGCACGTGCGTTTTTTGTATGGCTGCATGGTGGCATCCTACCAGGGCCATAAAGGGAATTGGGTACATCATGGTGCCATCCAAGGGACCCACTCCTCTCCCTGGGGCCTTTGACGCCATGCCCTTCATTGCAGGCAACGACAGCAAGGTGAGGGACCAGAGTAACCAATGCCGAACACTCAGCCAGGGATTTCCTGTGCAAAAGCAGCATCGATATCTCTGCATGACCATCGCCTTTCAATGTAATATCTTAGTATTCTTGCCATGTTCAATTGCCTCTTTTACCAGTCAATAACCAACAGCAAGCCGTGCCACTTCCCGTCCCCTCCATACCTTCCAGGCTGTGGGTGTTGGGCTAGTGTTCTCAATCACCCTGGTCACTCAGGCGTCGCTCGCAACTACCCCATTCAGCAGCAACACAGTGCAGACAGTCACACCCACCGCCTTCCCTGCGCTCTCTATGAGTGCTGCTGCCAACCAGTCGCTCACTCTCAATGCCAGCATCATCCCCCCTGCTGCCCCTGGTGCCGCTGCTGCCTCATACAACCTCTCATTCTACATTGGCAATGTGGTATGTGTCTTCAGTACCCTAACGCCTCTTCCTTCCAGATAAGTGGTTCCTGTGTTGCTGCCGTCTTTATACCCCTTGGGCTGTTTTTGTTATAATTCTTGTGTTGCTTGTATTTGCAGAATGCGACCAAGGCTTCTGCTCGTTTCAGCGCAACCTGGATGGTTGTGATGTTTGCACTCCCTGCTCTCCTGACCATGATTTAGTGGGACGAGCTGCACAAATGTTACATGCTGATGCAGGAACATGCTGACTGATGGTGCATGATATTGCATTGCATGGCAACACTAGGCAGGGTTTCGGGTTTAGGTCGTTAAACCCTGGCTTGACACTACCAAAAAAAGCTTGTAGAAAATGTGTACAAACATTTTGACACACCCCCGCCTGCAGCGAGAACTGGTGTGACTGCAACAGTTCTCGTTGCAGGCAGTTATGGGGGTGTGTCAAAATGTTTGTACACTCTTTTTTATATAAACTGCCTTGGCATGGAATTCAGTGTAGTTACTGTAATAAACTGATTGGTGCTGCGGTGCATCTTTGCCTCTCACTTGCTCTTGCTTGTACCAACTTTTCGTGCCCCTTCTAGAAAAACACCTTCCTTCTTGTTCAATTGTCCTATCTCCTGGCTCCTAAGTTCGTTTCTTACCGTACCGTAATCACCCGGATATACTACCTTTAGTTAGACCCGTTGTCTTATGATACGGTAACTACAATAGAAAATGGTGGTTTTGGAAGGTCTTACCAATCAAGCTACCCTTAATGATTGGTGATGAAACATATATCTTCTACTGCATAACCAAGTGGAAGGGCATCAGGTCAGAGGTTGAATGTTAGGAGTAGACGTCAGTTTGCAGTTCATTCATTCCTGTAGGTTTATACCATCCTAGTAGGTATTTCCTTGTGGAATCTTCTTTTCGTAACAGCAACTGCATCACAGCAACAATTGCCTAACTCGCATTGGCCAGAACTTGCGGCAGTATTCAGTGTGTGATTGGATGCTTTTCCACTTCACACGCGCCGACTTCGGAGATGGCAGAGATCATTGGGCAGTAAGGTTATTTCTGACCAGAGCCTGGTGTACACGTGTAAGATTTTCAGTTACACCAGACCACACATTACGAACCGCTTGCGGCTCCTTCGGCTTGAGTTCGGAGCCGCCTTATTGGTGAATTTCTTATTTTCCACGCCGCCCCCCACCCAAACCCAATCGACTTCATCTCTGCTCAGCTCAGACCACTCCACCCTATGATATCCCATTCCACCTGACCTAACCATACTCGTTTGGGATTAGCCTCAGATCATCAGTGTCTCCCCTATCCATCTCGTGGAGTCGTGGGCTGTGATTCCTCTCCTGTCTCGATTTCTGCACCCCCCTTCCCTGAATTTGTCGCATTTATGTGAACTCTATTTGTGAGTTCCACGGCACAGCTCGCAAGTGCTCGATCTCGTCACCCCTTCCGACTCTAAAAACAACTGACCGATTAGAAGCTAAAAGGACTCTACCTAAGGTTGTGCACAGAGTTTTTAAGCCAGCTTTGGCCGAGCCACGACAATTGAGTAATTATTTCAATTGCCTAAGACGCCATGGCGAATATAGGCATTGGAGCTATAACCGCCGCTCGTTCCGTCGCGTACCCGATAAACTGCCAATTGAAATATGGCGTGCAAGCAACGCCACCCGGTGGATATTTCATTGGCAAAAACAGTCATTTACGTAAGCTGCTACAACCTCGCGAGATTCGCAACAATGGGAGAAATCGACGTGCGACAATCGCGATGACGATCAGCCGCATCCCTCCGTCCGACACGGTTCTCGAGGCGTCGCAGAATACGACAATGACGATTCCCCCACGGACAACTCTTAAAGAATATCTCGATAAGATTACGGACCCGTTAGAAGCGGAGCTGCGGACTCGTTACTGGCTGCCGCACATCACGGATATCGATCCCGACTCACCGTCGTTCTACTCCACGTTTTGCACAAAGACAAGGTCCGCACGTAAATCCCCTCACCACCTCCCGTCCGACGCCTCAATTTTTGCTAATCTGACGACAGGGGCGCGTAGTTCGTTTACCTGCAAGGGGGCTCCCTTTTTGTTATCCACAGGACCCATGAAATCTTATGCATTGAATTTCGTGCATTCACGCGGCTCGTACTAAGTTGCGTCTTGAGCCGACTAAATATGCATCACAGTTGTGGACCCATGATGGCGATCCGCTGCCAATTCGTGCATTCACGGGGTTCGCGCGGAATGAATCTTCGAAAGATGCGAGTCGCCCCTTGAGAGGAGACTTTAAACTGGGCGTTCTTACTTTTCGGAAGGGAATAGAACCGCTCAGAGTTTTGGCGGTCCCACCAGAATTTTCTTGCGAGCCCACCTCTTATCTTCCTGACGCCATGCCGCCTCCCCTCTTCTTCCTGCGTGCAGCTGTCCGCTGCTGCCACTCGACAAGGGCGCGTCGTTCGTGGACTACGATACGCACGAGCTGGGCACTACGTCGCTCTTCGTGCACGATAACGACAAAGTGCTGCTCAAGGTGGGGCGGGACTCAAGGTGCGGCGCACGCGTGCTCAAGGTAATGCAGGCACCACGTCGCTCTTCGTGCACGATAACGACAAAGTGCTGCTCAAGGTGGGGCTTGCACGTGCTCAAGGTGGGGTGGACACGTGCTCGAGGTGGGGGGCCACGTGCTCATGGTGAGGCGGGCACGTGCTCAACGTACACCAATAAGCGCCAACGGTTCTCTGTAACGACCTGGCCTTCCTCACTCACACCCTATTCAAACCCACTCTCCACCCCTTTCTTGACGTGCATACTTTTGAGGCGCCTAAAAAAAAAAAAAGACGCATACCCCTGCTCCTCCTTTTCCACTCCTAACCACCCTTCACCTCTCCTCTTCTCCTCTGCCCCCAACTATCCCAATCCCACCTCTCTTTTTCTCTCCTCGCCGCCTTCTCTCCCCTCGCCCCCCCCCTGCTCGTGCAGACTGTGAAGTACGCGCATCCCATGACAGCCGACGCCTCATTTGAGGAGGACTGCCACCAGTGCGGCGCATCAGGGGTCACACATTCCCTCCAACCTACTCCGCATCCCATCCCCTTCCCCTGCTCGTGCAGACCGTCAAGTACGCGCATCCCGTGACAGCCGATGCCTCATCGGAGGAGGATGGCAACTGGTGAGGCGGATCAGCCGCAACCAGAGCATCTCCTTCTCCCTTTCCACCACCACCTTCTCTGTCCCCTTCTGCGTTCCTCAGACCGTCAAGTACTCGCATCCCATGACAGCCGATGCCTCATCCGAGGAGGATTGCCAATTTGTGCAGCACTGGTGCGTTCGCCTTGCATGGCCGCAGACAGGTGTGAGGGAGAGAGAAGGGGAGGTGCGGGGAGGGGGAGGGTAAGGGAGAGGACAGAGGGAACGAACGAATAGACCGGGAAGGAGGAGGGAGGTGACGTGGCCTCGGAGGTCTCAGAGAGTCAGGTCCTTTAAATGGTATTTTCCCTTTGAAGAGAGTCAGGCTAGTGCAGGCGGGAGCGACGATCAGAAGGTTCTTCGCGCTACGCCCAGCCAGGGCCCCCCTTAACTTTCCCCCCTCAGAATCTTTTGAGACGTCTCAGAAGTCACGCTAGGCCTCCCCTTAATTCCCCCCCCTCAGGATCTTGCTCACCTATTGGCCCCAGTGGTGACCTTTGAACCTACCCTCCGTTTTTTCCTTCTTCTCTCCTTCTTCTCTCCCCCACCTCTTCTCCACCTCCCTTCCAGGCTGGTGCGAGCGGGGGCGAGGCCGCGCATATTCTTCAAGCCACAGGACGTGCGTGCTGCTGTGGTGACGTGCGGGGGGCTCTGCCCTGGACTCAATGACGTCATCCGACAGGTGAGGGGGGCGAGATGATGACATCATCATGCCGTGAATCGCTGTGCGTCTGGAGGCATCAAGTATGGCTCTCATGGAATAAGTGGGCGACATGCCTCGATCCCCTCCCTTTTCTCGCCTCTCCTCACCTTACCCCACCGCACCCCATCCCACCCCGGCCCCCACACCTTGTGCTTCTGGCAACAGGTGTTGATGACACTCAACACGTACGGAGTGAGTGATATCCGAAGTTAAATCAAGTACGGCTTCTGACATGCCACGGACCTCTCTTCTCCTCCTGCCCCACCTCACTCCACCGCACCCCACCTCGCCCCACCCCTTGTGCTTCTGCCCACAGGTGGTGATGACACTCAACACGTACGGAGTGAGTGACATTCGAGGCATCAAGTACGGCTTTCGGGGCTTCTTTGATTCCTCCCTGCACATACCGGTCAGTGCCTGACTCACACACGTCAGTGCCTCACCCACAGAGTCAGTCCCGCCAGACCTTGTGCAAATCTCGTGCATGCCAATGCTCTCACGCATGCCTGTAAGTCCGTGATCTCACGCATGCCTGTAAGTCCGTGATCTCACGCATGCCTCTAAGTCCGTGATCTCACGCATGCCTGTAAGTCCGTGATCTCACGCATGCCTGTAAGTCCGTGATCTCACGCATGCCTGTAAGTCCGTGATCTCACGCATGCCTGTAAGTCCGTGATCTCACGCATGCCTGTAAGTCCGTGATCTCACGCATGCCTGTAAGTCCGTGATCTCACTCATGCCTGTAAGTCCGTGATCTCACGCATGCCTGTAAGTCCGTGATCTCACGTATGCCTGTAAGTCCGTGATCTCACGCATGCCTGTAAGTCCGTGATCTCACGCATGCCTGTAAGTCCGTGATCTCACACTCACTCACTCACTCCCCAACTGCCATGAAGCATCATCCGTCCCTCCCATGTGCCACGGGCGCCCTGTGAACCCACCAGCTGAACCGAGCAGTGGTGGATAACATTCACCTCATGGGCGGATCGTTTCTCGGAGTTTCTCGAGGGGGCTCCGACACCCTTGATATTGTCGACTCCATTCAGGTGGGTAGATGGGGGAGGGATGGGGCAGGGATGGTAGGGATGGGGGACAGATGGGGGAGGGATGGGGGAGGCTCTGGGGGAGGAAGGAAGATATGGGATTGA